TTTTTCTTCCTCTTCTTACTTTAGTGCCCTAGTGTCAACTCCTAAATTGTACTCAAATTAATTCAAGGCTTTTTCTTTTGGACAATATGTCAATATGAAGATAAAATCTAATACACACCTGGGCAGCATTAGAGAGTCAAGAAGAGATTTTAAAATATATTCTGTTTTCAAAAGATGATTTAGATACAAAAATAAAGACTGTTTAAATAAAAATCCAGATGTCTGCAGCCTGTCATCCCCAAATTCTTACTCTTTCTAGACATCAGATGTTCTTGATTTTCCATATAACTGATTTTATTTCCTTCTATTTTATAATACACTTATACAACAGAACTCTACCAGCGAAAAAAAGGAAAAAGCAAAGAAATGGGAACAAATTTATTATTGGTTTTGCCCTTCTAATTACAGAGGGACTTCAATGAGGAACCATGTGTCAGACAAATCAGAAATCAGATTCAGCCAAACGGTGAAATTTTAATATAAGACACTTTGATATAAGATGCTCTGTTCAGTGAAACTTTTTATTTGCTACAAACAGTCTCTGAGACTTGAAGATCATGAGTGAGCAGTTGCTCTGGTCCTACCAAGCAGATGCCCCGGACACAGCACATATCCCACACCTCAGGGAACCAGGGAAAGCAGAGCTCCATGAATAGCTTAACAAGAGTTTCCGTGTGTCCCAAATTGGCACCTGTGGGACAGAGCTGCCTACACATCTGCTCGGCTGTGTGCACAGGAAACTCCCTCTTTACTCACTTCTTCCTACAATTAGGATCTGGATGACCAAACCACCTCTGGACCAGTACTGATAAGATGAGTAGGAATCTCTCAAAGGAAAATTTCTAGAAGCCAGGAAAATAGGTTGGAGAAGTATTGTGAAATGGTTCCCTGATTTCTACGGTCTCCCCTAGGTATCCCTGACTGGCCCATGCCAGGGAGAGGGCACCAGGCAAGCAGGACTTTCAGTCTGACCAATGGAAAACCCTTGGCACATGTGAACAATACACAAATTAAATGCGCCTTGAGAGTAGAAGGCTGGTCACCTCCCTTGACAGTGAGTTAGTACGCTTATATTTTCATCCTGGGACTCCCCATTTGTCTCTTCCTAACTACTACTCACCTCTCATTTAATATTTTGGAACCAGATGCCACCAGAAGGCAATAAATCAATAAAATTATCATGCAGACAGAAAAAAAAATATTAAAAATCAGCTGAAATAAATTAAAGACAAAAACTATTACATACAAACAGGGAAAATACACATCTAAAAGAGATGTGTAGAGCTATTAGCCAATCCTACCCATCTACGGTTTGATGGGAACAAAATCATGATCACCCCCGCTGTGTTGTTATTAGTTGCTTGCATGGTGATGATACCCAGGGCGCCCACACCCTCAGTGTTTCTCAAAGACAGACAGCAGAGACAGCCTGGTCCTGTGTGCAGAAGAACCACCAAGTGGGGAAACATAAGGAGATGGCAACAAAAGAACAAATATTCTGCACAAGGAATAGAAGGAATTGGCAGAATGGACAAACTAAATCAACAGTAGAAGCCTAATGAGGAAAGAGGAGAGAGAAGGTGTGATTTGAGCAGCAACTTCTCAGTTGTACCTCTTCAGAAATGTCCTCCAGAACACAGATATAATTGGTGCCCAACTCATTAAGTGACTTTTCCACCAAATGAACTCCATCCCACCATCCTCACGCTGATGGCAAACACCCCAGCACCTGACCAAGTGCTTGAAGGTCTGCATATCCAGTCCCCATAATCCACCATGGACTAAAAATGGGCAAAATCCAGTGTCCTGCATATCAGATGAGCTGGGTTTTGTGCAGAGAGCTTTTCTAGGCATGGTTTCAGCTTATGTGCCAAATCACATTGGAAGGTGGGGTTTGTTTTTTTTCTGGAATTATGTATCTGGAAATAGATGACTGCCAGCCTTATGTAAGTGTTTAGGACAGGCAATGAAGAACATATCTGATGGGAACAAGAGGGAAAAAGTAGCTTTTGAGCTGAGGGGTGATTCTTCACAGATTACTTAAACCAGTATACTTTCAACAGCTCTCTAATTTAGTTACACTAGAGACAACTGAGTGAAAAATCAAACTCACAGTACTGGATATTTAATTGCCAAACCTCAGGGACAACTCATTTTTTTTGCCTGAAACAAATTAGGTTTTGAAGGGCTGTAGCACAATCCTCACTTAACATTTCATTCAGAAAACAAATGTACTTGTTGGTTAAGTGGTAGGGTTTGTTCTGTGCTCCCATATGTCAAATTGCTCAGGATCTCTCAACTATTTGAACAAGAAACAAATGTCAGTGACTGCAAATTTGGTCTTGGCTAACGTGACTTCTCTGGGAATTTTCCACTTAGGTGAAGGAACAGTCAAAGTCGAAGGGCAGGGGGAACGGATGTTGGTCCAGTGGGCAAATGATTGGAGGAAACAGCAAACTTCAATTACTCTTCTCTTGAGAAGAATTAGTTATCCTGCTATTAGTGACCCTGCTAGCCAAGTCTTAAAGAAGGTAAGTGGTGATTGCTAGAAAAACTATGTTACAGTTTCAGAGACAACAGCAATTCCTACTTTCTGCCCCTAGATTTTCACCCCTCTGAGGCATCACTGACTTTCGCACCACCATGGAGAAAAGCAAAGCCATGCAGCAGGGAAGACCTGGAGGATCCATGTGTTCTTGCCCCAACATCTCAGAAATGGAAGGAGTTCATCACTGTTGTCTGGAACTAAATTTTTTTTTTTCATATATTCTCTTCAGTGCTGTTCATACTGAAAGTTGGAGTTCAGAGGTGGGGTTTCATATAAGAATAATGCCACTGAATGAAACAGATTTACACCAATATTCAGGAGCTGCTTCCTGGCCTCAGTTCACTTTCTGGCTAGAAGGAGAACCTGTCCTATTTGCTGACATGAAAATTAGAAGGTTGCAGTTGAGTCAATGTTGGGGATTTCTCTGCAAGAGAGGTGCCTGGGCACAACCAACACCTGACAGCATGAGTAAGGTGTCCAAGAACTGGGAGAGGTTTTAGAATGAATCCTTGACTTAACACTCATAAATCCAGGAAAAACAAAATTTCAGATGCATCCCCCCTCTTCCGCATTTGCTATCAACCATTCTAAGCACCCACTTGCTCTGTATGTTGACTGCTGAAAAACCCCTCCATTGCTACTCAGCTGACTTAGTTCCCTGTATAGTAGACTCAGAGCCTGTAATATGGCACTTAAATCCCTTTGTGAGACTGGACCTGAATTCTCAGAAACTCATTCGGGGGGATCAGCCGTTATTTATCAACCACATGAATCACCTGTTGTGCCGGAAGCCAAGATGGTCTGTCACCCTGTAATGAGCAATATTCAAAGGCATAAAGTTCATGTGATTAATTTTCATTTGGATAGTTTGTGATTCAGTGGCATCAAAGAAGGTTTTAAAGACTGAATTTTTTTTTCCTTTTCTTAGGAAAAAAAAGACATGTACATTCCTCCATGTTCACCTAGTTATCATAATTGTCTACTGATGGATCATCTTTTCTTTGGGTTTTTGTTTTTAATTTTTCACTGCATATGGATATGTGACCCTCCTTACTACAGTACTTCCCAGTTTCTGCTCTTCATTTTCCTTTTTTTTTTTTTTAATTCTTTCCCTCCTGGCCATAATAAGACAACAG